CGATTCTCAACTTCGCTTAAAGGACGAGGCTTGTCATCTAAACAATGTAGAGGTGCATAAAGGCCCGTTTGAGCGAAGTATGCACTGGGCCTTATGATGGCCGGAATGCCTCTAATTTCACGATTCATTCATTCATTTTCTCGAGAAAAAATTGATCATTATTGAATTACTCCTATGTGACAAGACTCTCAAAATTAATATCAAGGCCATCAGCCGTAAACAGTTCTTGAGAGGATGGTTGACATCTGCGGGGATGATGTTCCATTTACACAATAAAATTATGCAGAAGTGGACGAGCCAAAACAGCAACAAATAATGAAATGACTCAAAAAGGCCACGGTTCTCGAAGATCATTGTGAGAAGGTATCTATCATCAGAATGGCATTGAATATACCGGAACCCAGCTTAGTAGATATCTTGCAAGACAACTAGAACATATGTAATGTGTCAGCCAGATGGGTTCCAGGACTAGTCATTTGGAAGCTTTGACCAACGGCGACGAAGCTTGGTTGCATCACTGGGATCCTGAGTTCCCAAAATGGCAGAAACGCACCCCTTTGCTAGAAAATTAATAACAGTTTTTTGGGACGTCAGGGGCATCCTTCTCTTTGAATATATGGCAAAAGCGACCTCAATAAATGCGGAAGTCTATGCGAACACGCTGAAAAATTACGATTCTTCCAATCGAGAAGTGTTTCTGTTTCATGGCAATGTAACTGTGCATATGGGTACCAAAACTAGACCAATTGTGCAGGAATGCAGCTTCGTTGAGATAGACCATCCACCCTATAGGCCGGACTTGGCTCCGTCTGACTTTTATATTTGGATTAATAAAGAAAAATCCTTGAGAACGCCGTTTTGACTCAGACAATGGCCGTCGACGACTTTTTTAGAGGCAAGAGGAAACAGCATAGTTTGAATCCTTGCTTCGCAAAATCTTTCCTTTTCGCTGAACATTCATATGTTTAAGTAAATTAAATTATCCACTGTTATTACAATATTATATACTTAGATATATTACTTTTACACGTTTGTTATTGTAATTTTTTGTCCGTACTTTATTTTATTTGCGGTTAGTACACTGCTCAAACAGATGATTACATTTAACGAACAGAAAATATACAAAATACACAAAAAAAAGAAAAAAAAATCAATAAACAACGTATCAAGTACATTATACACATTACATCTAAATAAGTTCTTAACCTACAGTCAAAAAAGACCTTTTTAAAATTGATATAGTGCAATGAAAAATGTCTACTAAATTCTTTACTTTTTCATAGTTGTTACACATTACATATAATGGTGAAAAAAGTAATACATTGGTGCGAGGCACAGGTAAATAGAAATTGGTATTGTTAAACCTTATGTTTCGGTACGGTACGTGTAATGACAGCTTTTCTAAAAGAAACTGGCAATCAACTGTGTTGTTCAAAATTTTATATAAGAAAACCACAACGCAGTAATTTCTGCGCTTAGATAAATTTACCATATTAAATCTACTGAGCAATAAGTCATTGCTAAATCCAGCCTCAGGATAAATCCCATCTTCCTTGAACCATAAATATTTAGCAAAGCGTCGCTGGATCTTTTCAATGCTGTCCGAATGTACACCATATGCTGGGTACCAAATTATACTACAGTATTCGAGCTTACATCTAACAAACGCATTGAATAACAATAAAAGAGTTTTAGCATTATTGAAGCTCTTGCCACACGTAAGTATGAAACCCATCGTTTTGTGCGCACCGGTTACAATTTCAGTAATGTGTTGCACAAAAGTTAACTGTGGGTCGAAAGAAACACCTAGATCCCTCACAATCGAACAACCATCCAAGACTTGACCATTTATGTGATAAGCATAACCAATTATATTCTGCTTACGTATGAAAGACATAGTCTGGCATTTTGTAATATTCAGATACAGCTCATTCAGGCAACACCACTCATACAGACGTACTAGTTCATCCTGAAGCTTCACATAATCGACAATTGTGTCAATTCTAGAAAATAATTTCAAGTCGTCTGCGTACAATAAGTTGCAACAATTTGGTTGGCCACTGAGATCATTCACAAATATAGCGAATAATAGCGGACCCAGGACGGAGCCCTGGGGCACAACAGATGTCGCAGAAACACTGACAGACCTAAAACCACGGTACTCAACGAAAAGTATTCTGTCCAACAGATAAGATCTGAGGAAATTTGCGAATCCAAGTGATATACCACATCTTAAAAGCTTTTGTATTAGTACTCCATGGTCAAGTCTGTCAAATGCTTTTAAGAAATCCGTATAGACAACGTCAATCTGTCCGCAAGTATCTAAAATTTCAGCAGCATGCTGTTTGAAGCATGCAAGATTAGATGTAGTCGATCTGCCAGGAGAAAAGCCATGCTGATGTGGAGTGATGATGTGTTTCATATGAGTGAATATGATTTCGTGAACAACAGATTCAAATGCTTTAGCAATATTACTTGGGATCACAATAGCTCTATAGTTTTCAATATTATTTCGGTCACCTTTTTTGAAAACAGGAGTAATGCGAGATATTTTCCAAACCTTAGGATAACAACTCTGTTCCAAAGATAAATTAAATAGAAAAGTGAGAGGCTCAGCGAGCACATGACAACAATCTTTAAGTAAAAAAGAAGGTATTGAATCCGGACCAGTAGAGCATTTGGATCTAAGTTTAGATAAAGCATGGTTGACCTGATCTACTGTGATTTTAGGTAAGTCGCATAACTTTACAAGGCTTAAGTGGCAAAATAGCTTCAAGCTGCACTTCGTCCTCAATAAAGGATGTTCATTATCATCATTATTATTATTAAGTTCAATGGATGACAAATGGCACTACTGCATTCAGGTGATTATGTTCAAAAATGAAATTATCAAAGAAATCGTACGTCCTTTTTTTCATGGCTAGGTAGATTTCTTTTCGTATTAGCTGCCTCTCAAGGAAGACTGTTCCTATTCTAAAACTCCTTTCTTCTTCCTCTTTGCATCCTCCGATCGCTGATTATGTGACAGTATCTCTATCCGCGTCGTTAGCATTTACGTCGCGTTTCTTCCTTATCGGGCGCGTTCCGCACATGGTGTATCACATTAAGGCCATCTCTGCACCGACGCTCCGATCGCATCCGGCGATAACGCAGTCGCGAAATACGCTAGGAATTATAATTAATTTTATCGAATATCGCGAATTTTCGTGCAACTGCATTGTCGGAAGCAACTCTCGCCAGCCTTGAGTTAATGGTAACGTTTGGTGGGAAAACGGGACATGCCTCTACATACTCTTTCATTACCGCAGCTGCAGGGCCGTAAAGTTGTGGAAGTACAACACAGGCAGGGTAAAGGAGCGACATAAGCTGTGGTAGCGACAGTGCTATAAAGCAGAGGTAAATGGAAAAGAAAATAATGATTTGCCTTATATGGAGGTGGTTGGCGCTGAAGGTCAAGATCCTAGCAGGGAATTGTGGAATTTAGTAACACAGGTTATTGAAACATTCCGGAACTCAATCACAGCCTCGGGCTACTGGTCTTCTGGAATAACCACCAGGTCATAATAAAACTACTTGGATCCCAATGGTACTCTGACGTTACCATGGTAATTACCAGTGGCATACGATTTAGACTTCTTATCAGCAAAGAAGCGATAGTCAACAAAACATCTCAGTTGATGGGAACAGCAGGTATAGCCACACGCATCTTATCGAAGCGTCTAACTTTTGGTATGACAAGGTCCAGTATTATATCATACTTCATTTTCATCTCGACGTAATGTAAGTACAGTTCAAAAATGATAGATATCTTCATTTCTGGCATATACTGATATATCACAAATGCTCGCTAGTTTCCTGGATAGAGCATATCCTCTAGGAGGAGGATGACAATCATGCATATACAGTAGGGGAAGTCCGGGAGACTTGCCCCTCCCAATTTATTATTGGTGATAAAATTTGTTCCTATTTATTATATATTTATTTATATAAATCAATAAATTTCAGATGACTTCGTAGCATATATTTTTAGGAACCTTGTTTTATCATTTAAACCTTAAAAAAATAAGTCAGAAAAAAATATATAGTCTTTTTATTTTTTTGAAGACATGGGCAACTCTCCCACATATGCGGGAGACTTGCCCATAGTCAGAAGGAGAGTTGCCCACCCCCGTTATTAAATAAAAACAAATGTAAATAATAACTTTTGTATTCCAAAACTCAAAAAATAAAACAAAAAACTTTACAAATTCAAGAACGAAACTAAATCTAGCTCTTTGAAATCAGAATAAACATAAGTTTAATGCAAAAAACAAATAAAATTAATTATAAAAAAGTATGAAAGTAAGAATGAAAAATAAAAGTAAACAAAAGTCTAATATGAACAAAGATATTAGCCTAACTTTTATTCACACTCATGACACTTAAACAGTTCGGTATCTGATTTTGTTAGCCCGACGCATACTTCATGGACATATCTTTTACAAACAATACAAAGCCTCATATCAAGCATATCGTCAGTTTGACAAATGTAACAGTACCAGTTGTCATCTTTATCTGGAGATTCTGCCCACTGATCATCATCAGAACTTTCAGCGTAAGATGTCCACTATCACTTGAAGATAAATCTATTGTCCATTTAGCCTTCTTATTTGTTTCATTCTTAGACGTTGTTTTTGTCTTTTTTGTTTCTTCATTTTTAGTCTCTTTAATAGTGTCCATCACTTTTTTTTTAAGTTTGTTTGCCTTGTTTTTTGGATCCATTTTTTGTTTAGTTTTTTCTATTGGTGATTCATTTTGGAAATTATCATAGTTTTCATCCTTCTCTGGACTTTGGGTTAATATTTTAGTTTTTCCTGGTTGACGGCCACGCCTTGTTGTCTTTCTGAGACCAGCTTTTGGAAATGGCCTTATCATCTCAGGTGTTGTGAGAGAAGAGGATGTAGCTTTAAATGGTGTACTTTTGGGTGTATTATCAAATATATTTGTAGGCATGTCCTTACTTATATTGTCGTACTTACAGCCATATTTTCAGGTGTAGTTTGCACGATTTCTGCTTCTGTAATAGCAGAAGTTGAGGGAATTTCGTTGGATGCGTTTTTATTTATATTTTCCAAATTTACAGCGATTTGAGTTTGCTTAATTCCTGTTGCTGTAACACCAGAAGTAGATGGAATTGCTAACGAATCTTCTGCCAGACATCCGGAAAAATCTAGTTGGACTTGGCCGTCAGAATTATCTCTGTCGGTCACATCTGAGCACAAGAAATCTTCATCAGTAAATATGTCAGGGTTAAACGGCTGAATCCCACACTTTCTAAATCCACTAAGGATATTTGCTTGGATAAAAGCTGCTGACATTATTGATTTAATAAATGTGGGAATATTGTAAATTGTTACTGTTTTTCCAGGATTACTTATCATCCAGTTACTTAATGCAGCATTGTATCTTACTTTAAGTGGGGAATAGACGGCCACATCTAATGGCTGCATCTTGTTACTACAATGCGGAGGCAGCGTTAACAACGTAATCCCATTTTCCTTAGCAAATTTTACAGTTTCAATGCTCATGGTTATCAAATCTGAGCAAAACAGGATTTTCTGGTGACGCGTTGCTATATTTTTATAATTGCTCCATAAACTTTAGAAAGCTTCTAGCAGTCATCCATCCTGTTGAATAAGCATCCCCATTAGAACCTTCTGGGCCATCAGAAACGAAGTCTTCTCGATATTTGATACGAGGGAATATAAAAAAGTGTGGAATAACGCTTCCAATTGCATTGACTGCAAAACAAACTGTCACCAAAGTGCCCCTCTCTGATGAAGTAACTTGACCAACCTGCTTAGATTTTTTACTGGCCAATGCCTTAGGACAATCCTGAACTGTAGTACATCCTACTTCATCCCAGTTATAAATATTTTGTGGTTCAAACTTAAATTTTTCTCGTACAATCCTTAAGTTTTGAAAAAAATCGTTTACATTCTTCCGATTGAAGCTTGTAGATCGTGACAAGCTTGTTGCCTCCGGAGTTCTTAAACTAATTTCGGGATTTCTTGACAAAAAACCGCGAATCCAATCCTTCCCTGCCATACTATTTTTTGACCAACTTTCTGGAATTTTTTTGGAATTCGAAACTGCAAACTTAAAAGCTAATTTCATTCCTTGTTTTCGAGTAAGTCCATAGTGCATTTTGCTGCAATTTAAAAAATATTCAACTAGAAGCTTCTCTTCTTGTATGGTGAATATTTGTGAAGTATTATACTGGCCTTTAGTTTCTATTTTTTCAAGTTTATTTTCATTGTTTTTGTAACGTCTCAAAGTCCTCCGATCAGTATCATATTTTGCAGAAGCTTTTCGAATAGATGTACCTTTGGCTAGTTCATCTAGTACATTTTTAAGAACATCCTTCTCAAGTTTTTTGCGAGTGGAACCGTCTTTTGTTTTGTACTTAAATGGCATTGTAGAGATCTGTAATAAAAAAAATGGATTAACTTTTACTAAAATTAATTAAAAACAAATACCAATTTAGAATTACATCAGAAAGGGAGAGTTGCCCCTCTGGGCAATCATGAATAGTGCAACTTTTAACATTTATGGTGCATAAATCTACAATGACTAATTAACATACCCACACAAGAATCTAAAACTTACCTTTTAATTTGCCCAAAAAATCAAGAAATTTGTAAAAGTATTAATTTTTGGTTTAAACGCAAAAAGCCACATGCCTCGGGTCAGATACAAAACAAACTGAGAAAAGTCAACTAGGATTTCGTAGACGCCTAGAAGCACTAGAGGGCGTCCCGTTTTCTCTCGTTTAAGATTATGGTGCGCAATTTTAAAGTAAATATATCACGGAGGGGCAAGTCTCTTACCTGGGCAAGTCTCCCGGATTCCCCCTATGTTACAATTCGTAATACCTAGCTGAAGCATCAACACGACTATTAAATTGTAGAACCAGCTTAGCATTACTTGATGAGCATACCTCACTCAATGCTGTCTGATTTGTGTTTTGCAAAATCTGGCGATAGAAAGTCGAATTTATTAACGAATCTCTTCTTCAACCAGGCATCATTAAGCCAGTGTTGCCATTTATGCATCCTATGATGACAGGCTGTCTAATACTGGTGACAACATACCGTATCGCATTTAAAGGATCATTTTATATTCACTAGTCAGAATTTGGAAGTATTATTCAATTCACTGATCAACAGCCAAAAAATATCCTAAATAAAATCAACAAAATATTACTATTTTTAATGTGCTAAAACCGGAATGTAACTTATTTTTTCAATATTAGTTCAAGTTTTAGAGATACGGTAATTATATGTGTTCCTGCTGTGACAGTGTTAATATACTGTAATTCACCAGAATGCACGTGCTACATTTTTATATTCGGCAAGGAAAGATGATGTAATCGGCATGATTGTGTTACGTTATACATACGTGTACATTATATTGTTTTATATTAGCCGTTTTTTCCTCAGTTGGCTGACAGCGTTCATGCAAGATGTCTCGAAAGTGTGTAAACAATCCAGCTCAGTTTTGTTACGTGTGTGGTGATGTGACTTTTGTGTCTCAGAGACGGTCTATTACTCCACTAATAACAAAGGCATATCAGCTTTATTTCGGTTGTAAACTAGGTGATCAAGACAAATAGTGGGCACCCTACATCTGCTGTAATACATGTGCTTCAAGTCTGAGGAGCTGGTTAAATGGCAAAAAACGGTCTATGCGCTTTGCTGTCTCAATGGTTTGGAGAGAGCCTACAAATCATATTTTGCATCGTACCTTGTGTTGGACAAGCTACAGGTATGTCCAAGAAAAAAAAATCGGTTATTAACTACCCAAACATACCATCTACGATGAGACCTGTGCCTCACAGTGACGAAAATCCTATTCCAAAACCCCCAGAGTCCTACACTTGCGAATCAGAAAACGAGTCAGATCATGGCGATCGAGTGATTCGTCAGGAAGAAGATGTGCCATCAACGTCAAGAGATCCTGATTTTATACCGAGCACGTCATGCCACCAACCGCACAAAATAACACAGTCAGAATTAAATGATCTTGTAAGAGATTTAGAACTTCCAAAATGTAAGGCAGAGTTACTTGGATCAAGACTGCAGCAGTGGAACTTGTTAGAAGACGATGTTTCGGTATGTGTTTTTTCGTAAATGCCACAAAGACTTAGAACCGTTTTTCAATATGGAGAATAACTTGGTTTTCTGCAGTAACATTAACGGCTTACTGGCGGCTTTAAATATAAACTATAACCCAGAAGAATGGAGATTGTTTATAGACAGTTCAACATTGAGTTTAAAGGCAGTGTTATTGCATATTGGAAATATTTTACCATCTCTTCCTGTAGGGTATGCAGTTCACATGAAAGAATCATATGACAATATGAAGTACCTATTGACATGCATAAAATACGATGAGCACCAATGGCATATTTGTGGCGATTTGAAAGTTGTTGCACTTTTACTTGGGCTGCAGCTAGGCTACACAAAGTGTTGCTGTTTTTTGTGTGAATGGGACAGTCGGGCAAAGGCACTTCATTACACCAGACAAAACTGGCCTGTTCGTCAATTCCTAGAGCCAGGTCAAAAAAACGTACAGCATATGCCATTAGTAGATTCGAAAACAATTTTATTACCACCACTGCATATCAAGTTGGGCCTAATGAAAAACTTTGTCAAGGCATTAGATAGAGATGGGTCAGCTTTTCAATACCTGCGTCAGAAATTTCTAAGACTAAGTGAGGCAAAGGTTAAAGAATGTATTTTTCGCTTGCTTAATGTTGTGCTTATCGCCATAGTCATTGTGTGACTGACTTACGCTCGTTTTACGACTAGGTACTTATTGCTACATAGTCATCCAAAAATGATCTTCTGTGTATTTTAGAAAAAGTTCAAGGTCATGTGTTTTCTTTGAACATGTAGTTTAATGGTGAGCTTGGATTTGACCTGAAGCCTCATCTTCAACGTCATAAAGACGCATAATGTTTCATTGTCGATGTTATAAAAGACGGTTTTCATTTGAAAAAGATGTTGACTTTCAATTAAGGACCTTCAGGGTGAGGTTCAAGGTTGAATCCCAGGTTACTGCTAATATTCTTGCTAAAAGTTACTAAAGAGCTGTTCCTAATTATGATCAATAGCCCCGCTAAGGTGCCGGAATCGTAAGATATCTAGAAGAGACGCGAAAGAACTGGAGCAAGTTCCGCTGCACATCTCTTCAATACGCTCATTGCTGCAATCCGTTTCGGAGGCGTGAGAAGCGTACAGTCAGTCTACTTGACGCCGTTTTATTTCTTCCAAAATACGTGTGGCGACAAGTCACGTCCCTGGCGGTACGTTAATTAACCGAATTCACGTCCTCAAAGCGAATTCGTCATTTGGTTTCTCATAATTATACTCGTACATATATCGACAGTTGTGGTGGTGGAAATACCGCAGCTTGTTAGTATTCCCCTTTGTTCGCTTCTAATCAACTGGCCCATTATGAATGGCGTCCGTGTAATTTCGCAGACAGAACTTTAAGAAACGACTTATTAGGCGTGATATGATTAGCACGGAGCGGGAGGGTAATCAGTTTTGGGGGTTAAGTTTCCTCTGGAAGTAGCACGTGATTCACCGAGTTGAATGGGGAGTCGGGCTTTTCGCTCTCCTCCCATTCTGGTGTACCACAATTTTTTCCAGGTTCGTTGGTTGGTGTATACTTAGATCGCAGATGGATTACTTTATTGTACAAGTTAATACTGTTTCTCATAAAGGCTACCAAACTAGCAAATATATCTTATAATGTTCAACTGTCTGTGGTATTTTATTTTATAATTGCCTTATTACTGCTATTAGAACACAACTTTGGCTTGATAAAACTGACAGTGAAGCAATTACGCTTTCGAGCTGCATTTTGCTTTAAAAGATAGCTGTAAGAACGTTCTTTGGGCAAAAATACAAAGCAGTTTTACAAATCTGAATGCAGTTTTATAAACGTTTATTTTCTCTCTGATATCTTTCCCAAAGGAATATTTCACTCAGATGGCATACCTTGAAAAATTATTATTTATTATTATTTGCACCATCATAGAAAAGCTACATATAAAAATTATATCAATTAAGTATTGAAATCTACATTCTTGCCTCAATTTAGAGACATCTCAAGGTGAATACATGGGAGCCAGATTTTGTGTTGTATCAACTTTACGACGGCCATTTTTAAGTGTATTACAAAAAATTATTTCTTCAAAGATAAAACGTGTCAAATAACTACTTTTGTTTTTATACTTGAATTATTTACTGCAATACAGGCCAGAATAAGGAAAAATATAATATGGAGATTTTTATCTTTTCTCCTAAAACTGAACAATAACTAACATACATGAGGCGATTGAAAATTGTGCTGCATATATACCATACATTATACAGGGTTATTACAAAAGAATCATCGGGCTTTAAAAAATTATATTTCAGAGAGTATTGCAAACATAATATCAAATGACATATCACTAGAAAAGGAAAATGTTCGAGTTTAAAGCACGTGCTTGCGAACACCGCTTTACCTCCCT